AAATCATATGATTCATATTAAAGAATAACTAAACCCAACAACAAAAATATAGAAGCTTACAGTCCTTACATGTGATGGCTTCTTTAGTTTTCTTTGTTTTCAAGCAAAGAACATTTTCAGTAAATACAGAAAATACTTGTTGATCTTGCCAGAAATGTAGTGTCCTGGTCACTTCCTGTAAGCTGCATTTTTACCTTTCTTAGCCATGTTCTGTATACTACCAATGGCCCTGCCCTCCATGTAATGGAGAGGAAGAGAGGTTTGTCCATATCAAAAGAGCAGCCCGTTGTAATTTGGTAAATCTGAAAGGTACAGTATTGGTAGGTCCACTTTAAGCATCAGTGCAATGTTACTGCAACTGGTAAATACTTCTTGCAGTAACATTACTTAGACTTAGGCCCCTTTCACGCTGACTGACTGTTTGCATCCGCCTTTCAGTTTTTTAGGTGGTCCCGATCGGACCATCCATAGCTCACTATGGAGCGGCAGATGTCAGCTGACATGTGTCTGCTGACACCCTCCGGAATTCGATTCAATCCTGTCCGCTACAAACAAACGGATGGGGATCCATTCCCCATTTGTCCAGTGGATCGGATCGGATTACAATTGAATGGAAATGGACAGGTGGTCCATTTCCATCCGACCGCCCCTTAGAGAACAGCAGGCTGTGTCAGTGTCCACTCTGCATAGTTGAGTAGGTGGATCTGCTTGATGGAGTCTGGCCATCTGAAAGGGGCCTTAGGCTCAGACTTAGAAAATCAGACAATGTTTTTATTGCTCTCTATGCCTTCCTAGCTCAGTCACCCATTTCATGTACCAATATCACATTCACAGAAAGCAAATTAAAATTTGCCCAATGTGCTCACAAGCAGAAATACACATTTTCATTGTTCCCTACTCTGTGCAAAGCTACTAAAAAAAATTTGGGGGGAAGTTATGGTTTACTGGAATTTCTGGCATTAAGTGTGAATCCAATATCACGATAGACATGACTGTAAATATCTCCAATGCGTTCCTGTTTTATCCTAAAAGGGTACCTACAAGTAATCTTCATAAAACACATCATTTCCCCACATTGCAAAACATGTCTGCAGAAGTAAAACTATACCAACACCTCAAGGTAAGAGAAACCTGCCACTGCTGACCACCCTACTGAAAATGCTAGTTAACTAACTATGATGTAGCTGCTTTGATTTCAACAGTTTCTGAGTCTCTGACCTTAAAAAAAGTGTATCTCAAACTTTTTTCAGTCAAGGTACCCTTTAAAATTCTGCACAATCTCGAGGCACCCAATTCTAAAATGTAAAGAATGAAACTAATATTTTTACATAATGCAGCAACATCCACACACGTAGGATACCCAATGTTAGAGGAGATTTATTCTTCCAAATTAAACACACCTTTGCACACACGTACTGTGTTCCCATTTTTCTTTTCTCCCTCAGTTTCCCTACTTCACTCAGCTAATGTGACCCCCGTACAGACAGAGAGGGGCAGGGGAGAAGCAAACAAGGGTGCTGTGCAGGCTGCCAACATCCTTGTTATTAACCAATTACATCCTTGGTTGTTAGGATATCGGTAGCTGGAAGCCTGTAAAGGTGCACAATGAAAACCCTGTGGCTTTGTGTAACTAAAAGGCAGATTTAATCCACCCACCAGCTTGTATATAATTTTGGGTCAATTTTTAGGCATTTATCAAGGCACCCCTGAAGAAATCTGAAGGCACCCTGGTTGAAAAAGGCAGCCTTTAACCACTTCCCCTTTGGCCATTGTAAATAAACGGCCAGACGGTGTCAGTGCAGGGGCGGGTGGCCGTTTATAAATGGCCTCCCCGCCCCCTGCTTGTGCGCGCTCCCTGGGAGCATGCAGCACCGCGTTTCGGTGCCTGCTGTGCCCTCCGGACACAGTGGAACACCGATCGTTGTACGGGACCTCTGTGCAAGGTCCCGATCATGTGATCACTGATTCCCCAATCAGTGATCACATGAAGAGTAGTAAGCAAGATGTCATTTCTGACATCATTGCTTACTACATGTGAAATCTGTGAATGATCACAGAGATCACATGGTACAGGACTATTCACAACAGCCTTATACCATGTGACAAGCTGTGACCAATCACAGCTCTCACAGTATTTCTCAATGGCTGCAGGAATGCAGCCAGAGAGAAGGAGAAATGATTGCTTCTACAGCCGTTATGGGAGTAAAAGCAATCAGCGTAAAAAAAAAAAATCTTCATAACCCCCCACAAGTAGTACAGTGTCACTGTACTGCTAGGGTGACAGTATGTAAAAAAAACATAAATAATAATAATAAAAAAAAGCCAAATAAATTTATGTGAATGTCCATTTATTTGACTTTTTTTGGAGATTAAAAGCGGTATTACACTATGGAGGTCTTTTTCTTTACCCCTTTCATGCATGCCTGAGCCTTATTGTGTGAAAGGGATATTTGATGCGCTGAGTTAGGAGCGGAGCCCGATTGGAGTCAGTGGAGCCATATTGTGGGACGCCGTCTGATTTGAGGATTACCTAAGGTGTTGTGGCCCTTAGGGGTTGATGTTGGGAGGTGAGGAGGCACTTTAGCCACTGTGGGATAAGTCACATAAGAGTGTTACTGAGAGCACTTACAAGTGTACACTGAAGATTGAAGCACTTTGTGTTGGACTGATCACCATTGATGTTTGCACCGAATGATTTTATCCAATTGTTGTTTATTTATTTTTATTATTTGTGTTTTTTTGCACTTATCACTTGATATATTAATTGTGGATATCTGTTTTGGTATATATTTCACTTTACCTGGTGTGTATGCATATTAATTGGCAGACCAGGCACTTGATTTTACACAGTGTGTTGCTGTTTTGAGCACGTGTCACTTTATATTGTTTCAAGGATTGGAGTCTCACGTTGTAATTATTTATTATTAATTTGTATATTTATGTATATATATTTATTCACATAATTGTGTGTACATACACTTATTTATTAATTTATTGCATTTGCATAGCGCTTCACCATTTTTTGTTTCATTTTTGCACATCCTGGGGTATAGGGAATAGGTGACAGCAGCTGGCTTATTAGGGAATCTCATAGTTGAGCGCAGGAGGATTTCCTATTTTAACAACTCAATAATGAACCCTAGGGATTGAGACTGGGATGCCATTAAAGTTCATGTGTGTGAAAGGCAGGTGTTCCAATACTTTTGGCAATATAGTGTATATACTTATTCACTCCCTTGTTATCTCTCGCCTTGACTATTGCAACTCCCTCCACATTGGCCTACCTAATCGAAGGATATCCCCTTTTCAGTCTATCATGAATGCTGCTGCCAGACTCATCCACCTTACTAACCATTCCATATCTGCCATCCCTCTCTGCCAATCCCTCCACTGGCTTCCCATTGCCCAACAAATAAAATTCAAAAAACATTAACAATAACATATAAAGCCATTTATGACTCTGCCCCAAATTATATCACCAATCCTGTCTCCAAATATCACCCAAACTGTCCTCTCCGCTCCTCCCACAACCTCCTGCTCTCTAGCTCCCTTGTCTCCTCCTCCCATGCTTGTCTCCAGGACTTCTCCAGAGCCTCCCCAATCCTCTGGAACTTTCTACCCCAATCTATTGGACTATCGCCTACTCTGCCCACTTTTAGGTGATCTCTGAAAGCCTATCTCTTCAGGAAAACCTATCCTGCCTTCAGCTAATAACAGAATCTTCTATTTCTCCTATCAGTTCATCCCCCACAGTTATTACCGTTTGTACCACCAGCCCCTCTCTATTATATTGTAAGCTCCAAGGAGCAGGGCCCTCCTAACCCTCTTGTATTGAACTGTATCGTTGCTGTATTGTCTCCCTTTATATTGTAAAGAGCTGAGCAAACTGTTTGTGCTATATAAATCCTGTATAATAATATACAAGGTGGAGATATATTTCATTGTTCACTAGCAGTACACTGTAATTATGGAAGGGAGTTGTGACAGTGTATCCTTCATGAATGTCTTTCACAGAGGGTAATATCACAAGATAAGCAGCACAAATCCCCTACACAAAACTGCATTCCAGAAGCCAGTGTGCTACAGTGACATAATACTGATCCAATCCTATTCAGAACATGCTCAGATACTTCTTGGTCCTGAGACAACGCAGGGCAATTAGCAACCAGTCTTACCCTATCCATGTTTACTTCTATGGCCAAACCATATTGGTGTGAATAGCTTTGCCATGTATTTATTGTCCATGTGTAAAAAGTTGAATACAAGATAGATAGATAGATAGATAGATAGATAGATAGATAGATAGATAGATAGATAGATAGATAGATAACATTTTTTGTAAAACAACATTTTTAATTAAAGTAACCCAAAACATGGCTTCCATAATACCTTTGTCTACCACTGAACAAGTAGAGCAACCACAGGGTCATTTAATAAATAATAGTTGTTCACACAGTGTAGAGAATGAGAGAAAAGAAGTTGAGACTGTGGGGGAGATTTACTAAAGCTGGCTCACTCAGAACCTCATGCACCTGTGCATGGTAACCAATCAGCTTCTAACCTCAGCTTGTTCAATTAGGCTTTAGCAATAAAACCTGGAACCTGATTGGTTTCCAGGCAGAAGTGCACAATATTCTGAACCAGCTTTAGTAAATAAACCTGTGTCCAATATAAATATCAAATCATGTTCAAAGGAAATTTCAAAAAATGGATTTGCATGTGATTAAAGGATTTAAGTGATCACAGCTTCATCTTATTTACTAAGAGTGCCCATTCATTTCCTTAGTAAATAAACCAACTTTAGTGTTTCCCCGTACACCTTGCAGGCTACATTCTGGAATTCACATGCAACTTCCATATAGCTGTTAAAAAAAGAAAACTTTGGGTGATTGGGAGAATAAAATAAATAAAACTACAGTAAATAACATTCATCAAAAACCAAAGGCATATATACAAGTGTAGATTATCAGTCTTCCAAGGAAACTGTCTGACAGACTCACCAGAACACGGTCTCCAAGCCGTAGATCCTTGTCCCCCTTTTTCACTGACCCACTGTCCGAAAGGTTGGATCCAGATTCATTTCCTGTTTTCATAGTGCTGTTCAGCACACTTTCTCGTAATGGCACAATTCGAGTGGTTAAGGGTGGTGTGGCAGTTCCAGAATGCAAAGACAAATTTTGCGTTGTCAAAGATTCCACTGAATGTGAATCACTTCCTCCACCATCTGCCACAGGCTGGCGAGTCAATTTGGATGGTCTTGTAAATATTCCTTGCAGTGACGGACATTCAAAGTAGCGCACTCCACCAACAGATCCATCATTTTTTCCTACTGGGTCATCAAGAACCACACCTGCCCACTGGCCTGGGGCAAACTGGGTTTCTCCTAAATACTGTACTACTCCAGGCTTAACTCCATTGACCCACACACGTTCGCCAACCACATAATCTCCTAGGAACTCATCGCCCACTTCAGTGATTTTTGATCCAGTTTTTTCTGCACCAACAGATGATGTAGAACCTTGTTTATGAAGAGGGGAGCCTGTAAAGACACAAGGTCAACATTTAGTATTTTGTATTTATCTGATATTTATTTTTAACTATAATTACTCATTCTGTCCTGGACATCAGTATTATCCAACCATCTATTCTGCAGTGTTCTTCATGTTTCCTGTGCAAAAACAGTATTGTCATTCAAACCTAATTGCTTTGATATTCTTAAATTTGAACTCTGTGCACAAAAACTTTAATTAAAATATATTTGTCAATAGCGACAAAAGGAGTACATCAAATGTCAATGCAAGGCCAGATATTACCTGGAAATGTAGTAGGGACATCAGCCCTGTGCTACACAGTCTGTACAGAGAGTAGGGTGAAATCTAGCAAGTCCTGCCACTATGGGCTGCCCACAAAACAACTATAGGGAGGCGGACACAAGACCAGTCACTCTGCACAGCAGGGAACCTGCTGACAGCTGATGACTCACTACATTACCACATGTTTTCTAGTGAATATGTTTTTAGTGAATGCCAACTTTTTTGGAAAAACACTGTGCGGTACCTTACTGCATACTTGGATGTGGTAAGATACCACTTTGTGAATTGCCCCCGATATTTGTTGAGTAAATAGATACCAAACATGTCAAGATTTAACATTGAGCACACCTGTGATATATGCCGCCCGAATTCATCCCAAAGATGTTCTATCAGGTTGAGGTCAGGACTCTGTGCAGACCAGTCAAGTTCCTCCATCTCAAACTCGCTCATCCATGTCTTCAAGGACCTTGATTTGTGCACTGTTGCGCAGTCATGTTGGAACAGCAAGGGGCACACTGTTGCCACAAAGTTAGTAGCATGAAATTGTCCAAAATATCTTGGTATGCTGATGTCTTAAGAGTTCTTTTCACTGAAACTAAGGGCCAAGTCTAACCCCTGAAAAACAACCTCACACCATAATCCCCCCTCCATCAAACTTTACACTTGGCACAATGCAGTCAAGCAAGTACTGTTCTCTTGGCAACCGCCAAACCCAGACACATCCCTCAGATTGCCAGAGAAGCATGATTCATCACTCCAGAGAACATGTCTACACTGCTCTAGAGTCCAGTGGTGGCGTGCTTTACACCATTGCATCCAACGCTTTGCATTTCACTTGGTAATGTAAGGCTTGGATGCAGCTGCTCGGCCATGGAAATCCATTCTATTAAGCTCTTTACGCAGTGTTGTTGCGCTAATCTGAAGGCCACATGAAGTTTGGAGGTCTTAACTATTGACTCTGCAGACAGTTGGCAACTTCTGCGCTTCAGCATGTGCTGACCCTGCTTTGTCATTTTGCATGGCCTCCCATTTCTTGGCTGAGTTGCTGTTGTTCCCAGTTGCTTCCACTTTGTTATAATACCACTAACAGTTCACCATGGAATATTTAGTAGAAAGGGAAATTTCACGGATGGACTTCTTGCACAGGTGGCAACCTATCGCGGTACCACGCATGAATTCACTGAGCTCCTGACAGCGACTCATTCTTTCTCAAATGTTTGTAGAAGTAGTCTGCATGCCTAGGTGCTTGATTTTATACACCTGTGGTCTGGTCATGGAGGTGATTGGAACACCTGAATCCAGTAATTTGGAGGGGTGTCCCAATACGTTTGGCAATATTGTGTGTGAGTGTGTATATGTATGTATATATATATATATATACATATATACTACTTTTGGTATTCATGTTGTACAATTTTAAAAAGTTAAAACTAGGGTTCGTAGGGTTCGTACTGACACCAATCCTAATTATTTGCACCAGTACTTGTACTGGTGCAATTGCTTCAATACCTGAAACCAAATCACATGCAGTTTCCCCCACTGCTCCTGTGTGAACCCAGGCTTGTCATAGTGTCTTCAGCTTGGGTTTACTAGTAGCATTGCGGGAAGCCATCTGATTTGGACAGGAATTGCACTGCATTCCTGTTTAAATTGCAAGCAATTCTTTGCAGTGCAATTTGAGCTCATTCATTTTTTATGGGCTCAGATCGCACCGCAAACGTATCGGTACTTGGTATCGCTGAGTTCTTCACTGAAAATATCAGTACTTGTGCTCTCCGGTAAAAAAAACAGTATCGGTGCAACCCTAGGTAAAATATAGAACATCTAAAAACTCTAATCATTAATTGTTTTCTAAATTTTGTATCTTGACTTCCATAATTCAGCGATTACGGCTTTCTTTTTTCTTCATAACAAAAACTTACTAAAAGAAAAAAAAATTGAAGGCAGCTGTTTTTCTCAAGAGGCGTACCAGGTCTGAAAGGCTTTTAAGGAGCCTTTGTTCTCCCTGTACTGTGACAGAAAACAGAGTTTGGGACACGCTGTAATCAGAGCTGCCACACTAGCTGCTTTCTAGCAGAAAAATGGTTGTTGTTCATATATTTCCTTTAAGATTGAACTGCAATGTAATCATATGTTCATACTACATGTTTCAGCATATAAGAGGAACACCTTTGAAAAGTATGAAAAAAGCTAAATGTTTCAGAAATTGTACTGCTAAGGCTACCAGCAGCTTCTGTGGCAGTGTTGCCATGGGAACTAAGAAATTCATTCAAATATATGGAATATAAAAGGTTTCTTTGAAAGACACGTTTTATTCAGTGTGTAGGAACATGTAACAGAGAAAAACTATGGTGTAGTGAAATTAAAAGAAAATCCTATCTAAGTTTTTTTTGTCTCCACAATTATCCAATATTTTTGAATATCTTATTGTGACAAGACATTGATCATTCCCTTTTCTCCATAGAACATTACTAGAAATGTGAAATATCCATATGGAAGCCCAGTAAGAGGTGAGACTATGGAAAATCCTGGTGTGAGGAAGGATGGGCAGACATCGTGACACACCTGTTCCTCTATGAACATCTAAGGCAGCGGTTCTCAACCTGTGGGTTGCGACCCCTTTGGGGGTCGAACGACCCTTTCACAGGGGTCGCCTAAGACCATCGGAAAACACATATTTCCGATGGTCTTAGGAAACGAGACATCGCTCCTCTATCCGTCTCCAGACGGGTCCGCCCACATGCAGATACGCCCACATACGAGTAAGAGAACAGTCAGCAGTGATGACACCTGACCCCTCTGCCCCAGTCTATCATCTCCCACAACATCTGCCCACCTATTGTCTGCACTGCTCCCCCAATCATCGCTGAGCGGCGACATCATCCCCAGCTGTAAATGTGAGGCAGGGGTTGTCGGGATTAAACTAGAACTTGACCAACCAGACGAGGTGACCTGTCAATGGGAAGCGCCAATGAAGAAGTTTTGACATCCACAGATTGGGCGTGTCCTCTGTCAGGAAGTCGGCTAGCTGGGGACTGGGTTGAGGATAGGGAAGAGTGTATCCAAGATGGCGGCGGTGTGGAGGTGAGAGCAGGCTGTGTGTGAAGAGAGCTGGCTGCTCTGTGTGGTGGGGATGGGGGAAGTGTGACACCTTGTATAGCGGGAATGAGAAGAGCTGCTGCAGTTATGAAGTAGCAACGCAAATAATTTTATTGTTGGGGGTCACCTCAACATGAGGAACTGTATTAAAGGGTTGCGGCATTAGGAAGGTTGAGAACCACTGATCTAAGGGTCTATGAACCCTGAAATGTAAAGCACACAATACAATCTAAATCACAGTTCAGCACCAAAGCAGTGTTTGCTGGTGCACAATCTTCCAACAGCTACATTGCCCAGGATGGGTCTTGGTAGACCCCAAGATTTTGGTCTGCAGCCAGGGAGGTTTGAATCTTCAGCATCTACCAAAAATTGTACTAATTGACAAAGGTTTTCTGCAAAATCTTGCTGTATTGGTAATGCTCGGACCTTAGAAGAAGGGGGTAATGCCACAAAAACTTGTCTTAAAATTGTAATTGCTAGTGCAAACAAAACCGTATCATGGGCAGTAGTCATCTGTGTTATCACCCTATCCAGGAGGTCTCCACATCAGAACTATTCACAGGTGTGTTGAATGGCTCACCTCATCCTGTCCCCTATGATTTCATCTGAGGATCTATACATCACTACAGGACATAGTAGTGACGTAGGGGTCAGGAAATGGAACTTCAGTGTGCAGAGGGGACAGGCATCCAACATTCCCGGAACTGAACCCCAATGCAGGTAAAGGGCAACCTGTACTGGGAAAATAAACAAAATGCCTTTGCTGAACTCTCTTTTACATATGTTAGTTTCCTAACTATTATGTTGACTCAAAGGTTGTATTGTACTATATTGGCACAAATTTGCAGATCAGGATTTCAGATTTTTTTTCCAGCTTCACTTAATGCATGGTTTTTTAAAGGTCAGTGATTCAGAAAGCACTAAACCCAGATACAATCAGATACCAGGTTCAGAAGGGGGTAGGCAATGTCAGATTCTTTCAGCACAGGCTTCCTTAACCCCAGGTTCACACCTAAGCGTTTTCTGCAATGTTTTGCATTTTGCAGAAACACACTACAGTCCATTTAACATGATTTCCTATGGGACACGTTCACATCTCCTCGTTTTCACTTGCACTTGGTGCGTTTTTGGAAAGGGTCAGGGACTTTTTTAAAGCAAACAGTTGCATTTTTGGTTCTATAGACTTCAATGGAAATGCTGCATGTAGTGCATTTTTGCTGCTTTTCTGATTTTTTTTAATGCATTTTAAATCTACCTAGCAACAAGGAAAAAAAAAAGAAAACCGCAGCAAAAAATGCAGGTGCAAAACACACCGCAAAACGCAATGCAGAAACGGATCAAACGCAAACTGCTTAGGTGTGAACCTATCCTTAACCAGTTGCCGCCCAGCCTATAGCCAGATGGCCGAGCGAACAGCTCGTCCCTCTGGGTGGACACCTTATGGTGTCCTTTCCAGAACGCGCATTGCGCATTCCCACAGGGCCGCGCTGTGGCGAGATCTGTTACCGGCCATGTACCTCGGACATGGCCGATGACAGATCTGTGTAACAGCCCTGCTGCCAGTACCATGTGACCTGCTGTGACCAATCACAGCAGGTCACATGACAGTTGTATACAATGGATGGCT